TGCTCTACCCATGTGTTCTCTGGTATTCTATTTATTATGACTTGGTTTTTTGTTGTTGTTCTCATCGTTTTATAGTTCTCCAGGCTTCAGAGCTCTTTGTCCCTCCCATATGGTTGTCTAGGTATTGGCATTTTTGTTCCCATACACTATTTTTCTTTTTTAACCACTTCCCGTTTGACTTCTTTATTCCAAGTTTTTATATTGTTGTTTTGTTTGTTCGTTTCCCTGTTTTTTTTTATAATACTTCCTGTATACTACTGTACTACTGTAAATAATTTTTGATATACTTCCTTTTTTCTTTTTATCTTTTCTTCCACTTCGTTATCCCACATGTTCGTATTTATCCGTCGTTGATCTGTGTGATTTCTGTAGTTTTTGTGTTAGTCTCCAAGAGTAAAGTAACTGTGTGCTCTCGTTATCTAGATTGTCTAAGATGTACGTAGTTCTTTCTATTTTTTCTCTGTGTTCTTTGTTGATGTCTGTGTAGTTTCCGTCTATGAATTGTGTATATATTTTTTCTATTATCAGGCAGTGGTCCGAGCCGCACTCTGCTCCTCTATTCACCTTTACGTCCTGTACTCTTACCTTAGTTTGTTGTCTTGTTATGAAATAATCTATTATCGATTTTAGACCTCTTATGTGCTGATACCGGGTTTATTGATATTTGTTCTTGTACCGAAAAACCCATTCAAAATCTTTAACTCATTGTTGGCATATATTTATGAGTCTTTCTCCGTTGTTGTTAACAGTTTCTTCTCCATGCATGCCAACCGCTTTACTTAGTTCTTGTTTTCTTACTCTGGCATTAAGGTCTCCTCCGCATATAATCTCATGGCTGTTAGGAATTTCGTTCAGGATTTTTCTACAGTCTTCTTCAAAAGCTTCCTTTTCTTGTACTGAGTAGTCATCATTTACGGCATATACCCCCAGAATTGTTATTTGTTATTAGGAGAATCGGCACTTTAATAAAACGTTCGTTGTATGCTTCCCAAGATTTAATATATTTTTCGAATTTCTTGTTTACAAATATTGATATCCCTACTCGTGCTCTTTGATCTTTTCCCACTTCTGAGAAGAAATGTGCATAGTCTTTAAATTTTTCAATTCCATTTCCTTTTTTCTAGGTCTCAAAGAGAGAATGGCTATATCTAATTTTCGATTTACGAATTCCTGCATAATTTCTTGTTGCTTGTTCCGGATTCCCTGTATATTCCAGATTCCGTAATTCATGGTCCATTTTCGTTGTTGTTTTCGTCAACTGTAATTTCGTTCGGTAACCAAGGCTCATTAGGTTTTTTAGCACTAGAATTTTCACAAGTGCTGCTGACCTTACGACTTAACCCCCATACTTGGAGGACCGAATTTTCTGTTGGGGTTCATTCCCCTAGCCGATATGTTTCAGTTTTTAGGTGCCAGAGACTCGCCTTTTAGCCTCTCTCGTCTGCTACATAACGCACTCCCATTATACGCCATGCACTCAGTGGTTACGCGACATGGTATGTCTTCGTGGACGTGAGAGTAGGATTTGCTGGCAGAGCTTAGTTTTATTCCTAAAACCTCCAACTCATTCGTTGGAAAACAGTGGGCATTTCTTAGAGCTTTGTTACGACAAAAGCATCGGCAACTTCATGTTGCCTCCAAGACCCCTTACCAGCCTTTAACCACCTTGGTGGTTCTTCTTCTAGTTTTAATCCCTTTCTTGTCGTGAAAATCTCTGAGAACCTTCCTTACAGGATCACTTTATTTAATGTTTCTTTTAAGATAAATTCCACCAACAACAGATCCATTGCTTCGGATAGTTTTTTGTGCCATTGCTGTTGTGCAATATTTGATTCATCGTAAAAATTCTATCAATTGTAGGCCTTCCTCTTCTAAACCCTCCCTGATATTCACCCATTATTTCAGACTCTTATTTTGTTAGTCGGTTTCCTATTAATAAAGCTATTATATTATATGCTACATTCAATAAAGGAATTCTCTGTAATTTTAGCGTAGGCATTTATCTTCATTTTTGTGGATCGGGCCAAATGGATGCATTTTCCCAGCCTTGCGGTAATTGGTCATTTTTTTCAAATTTATTTAATTAGGTTGTTTATTCGTTTGAGCACTAGCTGGCCACCTTCCTTGTATATTTCTGCTGTTATATCGTTTTCTTCTGGACTCTTGTTATTCTTCAGCTGCTTTATTATTTCCCCTATCTCTTGATCTGATGGTTCGTTTATTTCGATCTCACTATTGCTTTGCTCGGACCCGGTTTGTGATTGTATTTTATTTTCCTCCATGTTCAGCAGTTCTTCAATGGTAAGTCACCTATTAGCGTGCCTTCTTTACTTCTGCAGATGCATGCGATTTCAGGACCCGTAGCTTTATTGACTTTGACTTCTTGGTAAAAAAATTTTAATCTCCTTATCATATGATTATCCATATCTTATAACCTCATTTCCCTTTTTCTTTGCTGCTTCATAACTTTTTCTGGTTTCTGTTTTTTTCTGTATTTAGTATATTCATTTGTATTTTAGCTTTTCTTCTGGCTTCTAAATCCCTTTTGCAGTCCATATCAAAACAATCTTTACTGTTTGCTTTGTGTATTTTTCCTATGGTATTTTCTGTCGTTTCCGTTATTTATTATCTTCTCTATTTGTGTCCATTCTTGTTCAGTATCTTCATTTGGAATTGTGTCTTAATATTTTTGTTATATCCGGTTTTAACTGGTTTTTGATGTTTTCGTCCTTCAGCTTTTTTACATTAAAACACTTAGTTGTATTTAGTTTCTGCTTAGGTTCCTTTAGAATTTCTTGTTTGTAGCTTAGTCGCTACTAAGGAGCGACTAGTATTAGTGAAATTAAAGTGACTAGCGAGGGTAGTAGTGCCTGGAGGCTCGGAAGCCCAGAAGAAGACATCAGAGAGGATGTCGAAAGCTCGGCTCAGTGCTCTTGATCAAATCTTAGCTAGAGGTTGAATGAACAGAAAACCTCCCATATATATATATATATATATATATATATATATATATATATATATATATATATATATATATATATATATATATATATATATATATATATATATATATATATATGGTTTTCTGTTCATCCATTCGTCTTCTTTGGTGGCTCTATATCTCATTGTGTCATAATACATTTTCTTCCCATGCAACTGAAGGCCTTCCCATTCTTCTTTGTTGTGGTATCTAATTTAAAGCTTTATTTGGCCATCTATCTTTATTCATTCGCTTCACGTGACCAAGCCACACTAGTTCCACTAGCCACCACGCGCTCTCCTTAGAAAATCCATTTTTAACTACTTTTATTCTTTTTCTATCTTTTTCGTGATCTGCCAAACTTCTGCCCTATAAGTCATAATAAGCTCTACCAAGGTTCGATAGATTGCCACGATAGATTGCCAATTTCGTTTCTTGTCTAATATCTTTAGACCATAGTAGAGAGTTTAGCATGTTAACCGTTTTTTTCTCTGCTGCGTTCTGTTTTGAGGCCCAGCTCAGAAAATGCCGGTGGCATTTTCTGAGCTGCTCAATCCACCCAGAACTTCTTGGAGGCGGAGTTTGGTTTAGTTTTTTAATAGTTTAATTTAAGTCTACTACAGTTCCCTTGATACTTTCGTTTATTAAAAATTCCGTACCCAACAGTCTATTTGTCCCACTACTATTAAACAAGATTGCTCTATCAATTTCTGATATTCCGGTTGTCTTTAGTTTTATTTCTTGACGAGCAAAAAAGAGCCCAGTTCGTATTGATTCAAGATGCCGATTAAGTTTGTCACTCCATCCTCTACATAAATACTTCTAACATTCCACGGGACTATTTTAGTTGGTTTTCCCTTAATTTATATCCTTCTTTGTTTGCTCGTCCCGATCATTATCTGTCTGTATCTGTATCATAATCGTGTCCTTATTCTTTGCCTTTTCCGTCTTTATTTATTCACACTACGATGCTTCTTTTAGTTTTTCTTTGGTTATTTCTATGAGATGCATTGTCTATATCTTCCAAAATTCCTTTATCTTTGTTCCATTTTTAATTCCTTTTTATCAACTTTTAATCTTTTGTTTTATCTCATTATGATTTATTCTTTTTGTAGGAAAGTTAGTTGCAAACCTACTATTATCATAATCGATATTTAATTCAGGGTGATAGTTTGGAAAGTGCCTAACGTTAGTTGGACTTATTTTTGATACTTTGGTGAGGTAATTCATTCTAGAGTTGATGTTCTACTTGTTTAAGCGAAAGACCTAACAACGATTTCGAACTGATATTCACGCTATCTAATCTATAATGTTTTTCATTGTATAGACTATCTAGATAATTTTGTAATAACTGATAAGCTTTCGCACTAGTATCTCTGCAACAACTACTCTACTATTTCTACGAGAATGTTTCATACCGTGAGTTTAAATCAGCGATCTCCTTGAAATGCGCCTTGGTGGAATGCAACTCCTTTTCCATCGTTCCTATGATTTATTGAAGCTTGTAGCGTTTTTCATTGGTCATTACCAAATTGTTTTCTAAGTCCTTGTTAGCCTTTTCTAGTTGGTCTATTTATTGTTCCCGTAAGTCTATCTTTGATTGAAGATCTTTTATAAGACGATCTTTCATTCTACCTTCTTTAGTAACCTCTGCTAGAAGTGTCCTCGGTTCTTAAGAATATTTTATAAGACTCTTTTTCAATAAAAAGTTCTTCCCTGGAAGCTTTCAGTGCACCGGCCATATTTTCCCTGTTTCTCAATAGATTTTCCATCTCGTTCTTCTGTTGGCTTTGATTATCGATAATCTGTTCGCAATGTGCAATTTCTGTTCACTCTCCAGAGATTTTTTCATAAGTTCTCTTAACTTATTTTTGCCTTCTTCGAACATCTGAAGACTTTCGGAGGGTCATTGTTGATTCAGCTCTTCTAAATGTCCCTGTCGCACTTTTAACTGACGAATTTCTGACGTGAGCTTTGCCATTTCTTGTGACCTTAAAGCTAGAAATTTTTCAGTTAATTTTTATTCGCTTTCAGCTAACAACTGTTTATATTTCGACACGATGTCATGTTGAAATCTTACTGCTTTTTCGGTTGCGCTCGGAGTTGCATTTCTTGTTTTTCCCTTTGTTGCAAGAGCCTCTCTTTGAAAATTATTCTCTTTCTCTAGACTTTTAATTTTATCTCTGTACTTTTGAACGAGTATGTCTTTCATCATGCTTTCAGAATATTCATCAGCCTTTACTGCAGAATCTTGGTTATCTTTTTCCCAGTTGATACTATTCGTGACCATACATCGTTGCTCTATTATCGCGTTCTTTACTTACTATAACGAATTTTTTTCTTTGGCACTAATAAGTTCGTGTTCCAAAGCGTCTATTTTGTCTATAAGGGTTTCTTCACACAGTTCGTTCTCCTTGACTTCTTGCAACCTTGTTTCGAAGCTGGATTTGTCGGAAAACAGTTTCTGTAACATATTCTCTTGGTGTTTCATATTTTTGGACATTTCGTCACTCTCCTTATTCCACGGTGAGTTGGTCTTGCAGTTGCTTTAGTCTCTTGTTGAGGTCATTATTTTGGTTGCCAAAATTTTGTTCCTCTTTTTCTAGTTCAGTAATCTTGGTGCGCAATCCTCGAGAAGCTTAGGGACTATTGCTTACTCTGGATCAATAATCCGTGGAATTCTTTTTCTCAGCCTCTAACTCGGCCTCAACTTTCTGAATTTGGTCCTTTAATCCATGAATAACGCTGTTTAATTCGTGGATACATTTATCATGATTTGATCTCTTGTCCTTAAGTTTTTTTTTGCAAATCTACGATAACCTGATTTGCACCTTTGGTTAGCTTTTCCTGAGCTTTTAGACTTTCTTCCAGTTCTTCAATTTTGCTGTCCGAACCAATGTGAGTCTTATCGTTAAGGAGTTTGTGCCAATTTCTTACTATTTCTCTAATTTTGCCTTCGTGCTCTATCAGGACGATATCTAAATGGATTTTTAACTGAGTTCCTTCTCTTTTTAAAGCTTCTATTTGATCGGTTAAATCCCCGGCGTCTATTTCTGATTTAATCGCACTGTCTAATAGCTCTACAATATTATTTCTTCGATCTAGTAAGTTTTTACAAATTTCCTTCAAAGTTTTGGGAATATTTTCGATTGAAGTTTGCATTCCAAAAACAACTTCCGCTGTGTCACTCTCCCCTGCTCCTGCTTCAATATCTTTTGGAGTTTCTGGAATCCCTGAATAAGATATTCATTTAATTTCTTCTAAACAAACATTCTTTCCAAATTCTTCTAGTTTCTTCTTGATATGTACCAAACTTTGATAGAGACCAAGCACTGGTTACTGTTTTTCTATGAGATCTTTATGCAAAACGATAATAATCTTTTCTTTTTATTTAAAAACTGAATTTCTAACGTGTTTGTTAATATTTTATGTCAAACCCTTTAGCAGTCCAGAATTTGGCTTAGAAAGTTTACCAGTATTGGATTAAACATTCTGATTTGATGGTTTAGCTGTAGGAACTGGCTTGGCTGGCTTAATAACCGGCAGTGGAATACTAGATGATACTGTGGGTTTCTTAACAGCAGATTTCTTCGTAGGGTAACTTCTTTTTTCGAAGCCAAAACAGACGAGATTTTTCTAACTGAATAGCTGATTTGTTATTCATTACTCCCACTGACAGACATTTCGAATTGAGGAAGGTTTGAAGAAAATGAATCATGTTGAGATCTATGGGAACTATCTTCTCTATCTTATATTAAGAAACTTCATCAGTTGCACTTATTTCCCCCACGATGCTTTGAGTAGACGATGCCATAGTCGTCAGTGGGAAGCCATAGAAAATATCCCACATTCGAATTTAAGTCACAATGAAAATGAATAAACTCAATCTTACTAGAACAAACAAATGATTTTGTAAATAGGCAAATCTGTCACATTTTCAAATGTCAAAATTATAATGATTTGTTAATTATTATTGTTATCTGTTTTGGCTTCGAAAAAAGAAGTTACCCCACGTAATAAATAGTTATTTAGTTAAATTTGTAAAAAGTTACTAGATCCAAGAAATAATGTTGTATAACTATTAGACAGTGTAATTAAATCAGAAATAGACGCAGGGGATTTAACCGATCAAATAGAAGCTTTGAAAAGAGAAGGAACTCAGTTAAAAATCCATTTAGATATCGACCTGATAGAGAACGAAGGTAAAATTAGAGAAATAGTAATAAACTGGCACAAATTCCTTAACGATAAGACTCACATTGGTTCGGACAGCAAAATTGAAGAACTAGAAGAAAGTCTAACAGCTCAGGAAAAATTAACGAGAGATGCAAATCAGGTTATCGTAGATTTGCAAAAAAAAACTTGAGGACAAGAGATCAAATTATGATAAATGTGTCCACGAATTAAACAGCGTTATTCATATATTAAAGGACCAAATTCAGAAAGTTGAGGCCGAGTTAGAGGCAGATAAAAAGAATACCACGGATTATAGATCCAGAGTAAGCAAGCTTCTAGGATTGCGCACCAAGATAGCTGAACTAGAAAAAGAGAAACTGAATTTGAACAACCAAAATAATGACCTCAACAAGAAACACTGCCTGGGGTGATTGCGGGGTGGATTGATTAGCTCTTCGGTTACCACAGCCGGTCCCAAGCCCGGATAAAATGTGGAGGGATTGGCAAGGTTAGCAAAGATTGATACTATGAAGACGACTACGGCAAGAAATAAGGACAAGCTAAAAACATCCAAAACTCAGATGAGAATTACTACTTGGAATATCAGATCACTCAACTCAAGGGACCAAGAAATAACCCAAGTGCTGAAAGAGAAAGAAATAGATATTTGTGCTCTACAGAAAACAAAAAAGAAAGGAAAAGGTCAATCAAAATTAGGGGAATACATACTAGTCTACAGTGGAGTAGCAAAAGAAAACAGGGCCAAAAAAGGTGTAGCCTTACTAATACACCAAAGGTACCAAAATCACATCAAAGAGTGTCAATACATATCAGAAAAAATAGTAACAGCAAAGATAAGAATGGAGAAGGAAGACCTGAACATCATCGGAGTATACGGCCCAGAAAATAACAAGCCTCAAACAACAAAAACAACACATTTTTTGACCACAACGACCAACACAAATATACATTTAATAACACCCGTGAACAAAGATCTATGATAGATTATATTATAACTAACAGAGATATACATTCATCAAAAATAATCGACGAGATGCCTCAACTCAGTAGATGTAGGTAGAGACCATAGCCTAATATTATGTAAAATATGATTAATCCTGAAATACTTCCCGCCCAAGAGAGCGGCGCCAACACAAGCAAAAATCAAAGTCGAAGGCCTAAATATGTAATCGACAAAATACTCATACAGGAAAAGAATATCAGAGAGGATCGCTGGGAATGAAATATTAGAAAACGATAACATCGAGGAAAGCTGGGAAAAGCTCAAAAATAATATAATTAACGCAGCAGCAGAATCACTTGGAGAAAGTGAAGACAGAATGTGAAGAAAAGAAGAAAGCCTTTTTACAATACAGAACACAACAAACACAACAGGCATACAACCACTATAAACGAATCAGAAATGAAACGAATACTTTAGTTACACAAATAAAAAAGGAACACTGGCAGAGTTTTTCAAAACAGATGGAACACGATTTCTATGGAACATAAAAAGAAATATGGAGAATGATCAGAGGACAAAGAAAAGAAATGAACGAACTAATAAAAACGAAACACATTCAGAAGGAAACATGGATAGACTACTTTCGATCCCTGTTTGTTAAAGGTGACGATGATGAACCACCAACACCAGAGGTAACGACAAACGAAGAAATAAATATGGCAAAGGAAGCATTAAGGAATTTAACACAACACTAAAATTACCCACCAAAGTGATAACAAATAAATTGAATGAAATTATAACACTAGTAGAAGAACAAGGTTTTAGGTCGGGAAGATCATGCATCGACGCTATATTTATAATGAGGCAAGTGCAATAGAAATCATTAGAAAACAACAAACCTGCATATCTATGTTTCGTGGACCTTACAAAGGCATTTGACGGGGTCTTGTGTGAGTCTACATTTTCTCAAATGAAGATAGTGAAATCAAAATATTCTAATCGGCTAACTGACGAACATCTCTCTTCATGTTTGAATTTGGCCCTCGGTAATTACGTACTATTATATGAAATACTTGTCGATGATATGCAGTGCCATGCATCCCCATCCAAATAAAATTAATATGAAAAACATTACTTTAATTACAACTTTCTGTAGTTACAACTTTTTATCAACTAGAAATGTGCAATAAAGTTTTTTATTTTCAAAATTGTTTTTTTTTACTATGCTTTGTATGTAAACCAGGAGGAGTAAACTAAAGAGACACATTCACGCCCAAGAAAGTCATTAGAAAACTTACCAAATACATCTTTTTTGGTTGGTCATATCGGCCTTTGACGGTAATGCAAAAATATTATACTAATACGTCGCTAAAGAGTTCTAAAAACAACTATTTTTTATATAAAAGCAGACTACAAATCTAAAAATTAAAAGAATAACGCAGAAAACACAAAAAATCGCCGATATAACTTAATTAACCTATGAAATGCCATTAGTATTAAAATTTCATAATAGTGAAGTAAATTTGCCTGAGGTTGGACCACTTACAAACATTACTCCTCCTTCTGTTCACTCTCTGGAGAGTGAACAGAAAATTGCACACGGCGAACAGATTATCGATAAACAAAGCCGACAGATGAACGAGATGGAAAATCTATTGAGGTACAGGAAAAATATGGCCGGTGTACTAAAAACTTCCAGGGAAGAACTTTTCATTGAAAAAGAGTCTTACGAAATATTTTCAAGAATTGAGGACACTTCTAGCAGAGGTTACTAGAAGGTAAAATGAAAGATCTTCAATCAAAGATAGACTTATGGAAACAACAAATAGATTAACTAGAGACAACAAGCAAATATCAGTTCGAAATCGTTGTTAGGTCTTTCCATTAAACAAGTAGAACATCTTAAGTCTAGAATGAATTAATTATACACCAAAGTATCAAAAATAAGTCCAACTAACGTTAGGCACTTTCCAAACTATCACCCTGAATTAAATATCGATTGTGACTAACTTTGAATCTCATATACCCTCTTTGTGTCTTCCTTTCAGCACACTCACTTTATCCGTCATGTTTTCCATTTCAGCGAGGAACATTTTGGCGCCTACGTTGCTACCTTCTTTCAATTTAATGTTTAGGTGAAGATTTGTTTT